CCGGCCCCTCTTCACACAGTCCAGTTAATCGCGGGATGTGCCTCCAATTAGTCAGGGTCCGAGCCCTCCCCACCAGATCTGCCAAAGTGCCAAGTCCAAGAATAAATCCTTGCATTCCAAGAGCCCCATGAATCGAACTCACGACCTCTGATCTGCCAGGTTTGACAGAGCCCGTCCTTTGCCAGTGGAGAAGTGCCCCGGGGGGCGTGGACTACTTCTTTAGCTATATACTTGGACTATGATAAGATAACAATTCCTCATCATTTCTAATGTAGGGTGTACACTTTCCTAATTTCTCAAATTTTATTGAAATTCATTTTTCATAATTTTCACGTTTCAAGTCACTTAATTTCAATTTCTCATTCCTTGAAAATTAATTTCGAACAATCAAATATATCACTATTATCTGACTTTATGTGTTTAGCCTTCAAATACCCGTAGTTGACTAACAAATATCATATGAGTAACTAATCAAAGTTGATCAAAACTAACTTATAAAACAATTTCAAAAATTCCGAATATTCTCCTATTAGTTGCGATGGTTTTTGTTTTTTGTTTTTTGTTTTTTGTTTTTTGTTTTTTGTTTTGTTTTTTTTTTTTTTGTTTGTGTGGGGAGATGTTCATAATGTCTTCGTTATCTTCTCTTTTCAAATTTTTTAGTAATGCCGAGAATTTTCAAAGAAAAAGGCAGTGTTGACTAGGCACACAAAAACCATTTTTCTTAAAAAAAAAAAGTGGGGCTTCTTTTTCTCACTTCTCCTGCCAAACAAGTCATTCTTGTTAAATTCTTCAAATGTAGAAAATTAGTACAAGAAAGAAAAAAGGCAAAAAGAGCCAAGGGGCGAAGAAGGGATAGAAGATATTTATCTCTTCGATTTATCTTTCATAATGTTTAAATCAAAACTAAGCCAATTTGGGGCACAACCTGCGGTTTAACCTGTCTGCAACTTGAGGGACCAAGGAGTAGACTCCAGGATTTAGTCACTATAAGGTGGATACCTGGATATCAAAAAATAAAAAATAAAAAAAATAAATAAATCAAAACTAAGCCCATATTTGATGACCATTATTGAGAAGAAATGATGTTTTGAAAAACGATTTTTTTCCCATTTTTTTAGAAAATGTGTGGTTAAAAAGTAGGAAAAATTTTTATGTGCAAAATATATATTGTATGAATATATGATCGAAAATGAATATGAAAATTAAAGAAATTTATTTTAAAGAGAGACAAACATAGGTTAAATATGTTGAAACCAAAATTAAGCAGATAACTTGCTTTCAATTCTGACTTGGACCGCGATCAAATTCTAGAGACACGTTTTGCTAGCCCACAAACAATTTTCCGTTCAATTTTAATAGTCCACCGATCATTGAACGCACAAGTTTTGATTCAATTTTTCATTGGTCAAATTTCATAATACTAACAAATTAAACGTAATTACAATAAATTTAAATTCGATTACATTAATATTATCATTCCATTTGGTCCACCTCTCGAAGCTATTAAGAAAGCTTCGGCTAAAAATAGGTGATTCAAGCCATTAGTTGTCTTAAAGCATTAGGGCTTGCTTGGAGTTTCTGCGTACATGTTACGATCCTTGTGCGCCTGTGAGAATTATTGATCCTTATTCCTTGTAGCTTTTTAAGATAAATCTCATAGGTGTAAAAAAAGGATTCACTTTTCTCACTTCTCCTGCCAAACAAGTCATTCTTGTTAAATTCTTCAAATGTAGAAAATTAATGAAAGAGAGAGAAAAAGGGCAAAAAGAAGGGATAGAATCATAGGAGAACTAAAAGAAGGATAAGGATTACAAGAATATTATTGATCATAGGATTTAAATTTAATACCTATGGTATTTCTTTAAGATTATTGATCATAGGACCAAATAGAATGACAAAAAAAATAATTTTCTTAAAACCTATTACATTTCTTTATGATAAATCGAAGGGATTATTGATCCTTATCCCTCTTAGTTCTCCTATCTTTAAAGAGCATTTGCTTGGAGTTTCAGTGTACAGGTTATGATCTTTGTACACCTACGAGAATTATTGATCCTTATGCCTCTTAGTTCTTTAAACTGTATCTCATAGGCGTAAAAATAGGTAATTCAAGCCATTATTTACTTTTTCTTATTTACTTATAAGTATTTTTTAATTATATTGTAATTTTTTTTGTTTATAAATAATTTTCTGGTTAATATATTTTAATTTACAAGTTAGTTTTGAAGAAACTATGTTGGTTGAAAATAATTATTTTATAGAGAGTAAAATTAGAAGAAAATATGAGAAACGGTCAAAATATATCGATTTGGCGAACTGAGAAATCTGTCAAAATAACACTACACCAATTTTGAGTGATTTTTAAACCATCCAAAATGGTGCTCAAAACATTTCATAAACGATGCTATCCAAAATCAGTCAAAGTCGGTGAAAAATAAAAACTCTCAAACATGCCCTTAAGCTTACACTATTCAAGACATTCATTTTTCCACCAATAAATTAACTTCTAAAGATAAGGTTTAATCTCACTTGTTTAGTTTCATGAGGATTAGAATACCCCACAAGTTCTAATAACAAATTAAATAAATTTCTTTATTAATATTTATGTTAAAATAGATAATTCGATTCATGAGTTAATGTTTTCTTAACAAGTAATAACTATGTAGAATTCAACAAATTCGTCTTGAATTAGTAAAATATAGTAATATTGAACTTGTTTTAGTTTCATTAGAATTATAATACAACATTAATTATTTTCGCACGTTAATATTTCCTAATGAAATCTGATTAGGGCTTTTAAAAAAATAGAGTCATTCGCTAACAGGGACACAACCGGTATTTAAAGGTCTTAATAAGGGCTTTTTAGATAACAGGTGCCCAACACGAACAGAGACAGAATACAAGCATAAATTTATAGAGAGAGAGAGAAACAAAAGAGAGAGAGAGGGGAATTTGATCGACGGCCGAAGGCCAGAAACCCTATTTCTCTTTGTCGATGAGGACTAGGAATCAGTATTTCTTATTTAATTAATTTCCTGATATTAATATTCACTGATTGTGTTGAATGTTTTCACACATTGGTGTTTATACGCGAATTTATTGGTTTAATTAATTGAATATTTATAGAGTGGATTCTCTTGATACCGTGTGGAATTTTGTTTTTCCGGCGTTTTGATTTTGGAATTATTATGTCGGCTGATTCTCTTAACGATGATAACTCGCCACGGTCGAAGGCTACAACAGATGCCAATTCCGGCGGCGCCGTAAATATTCCAGAGTCACGTAGGGGGAGTCTGACTTCTCCGTGGGCATCCGTTGTTCGTGGAGATTCCGAACCTATCTCGACCCCTGCCGGCACTATAGTTGCTGCCGATATTCCTCATTCTTCATTGTCGCCGCAGCCTATTTCCGCCGCCATAGAGCTGGAGTCCGCGTCTGAGAAGGTTTCAACGGGGAATTTGGGCCCGGAGACCAAGCTCGAGAGCTCTGATACTGACAACGACGGCAATGCAGGCAGCCCGAAGAGACCCGCTTGGAAAAAGCCCGTAAACGGTGTGGTTGATCCGGGGTCTATTATGGGCGGTGCTGTCTCCTGGCCCGCGCTCTCTGAATCTGTTCGTCCTGTTCCGAGATCATCGGAATCCTCGAAACCCTTTTCCGACGGGTCACCATCTTCTTTTCAGGTTCAATTTATAATAATACTTAATCTTCATTTTTATCTTGCACTTAGAGTTACAAGTGGAAAAATATATTTATATGGAATTATTCTGTTTCTTATTTAATCTTCTATTTATTATTATTTTTTTAAAAAAAATTTTTGGTACTTAAGAATTATGTGGAAAAATATATTCATATGAAAATATTTGGTTCGTATTCAATATAATGTTTCGGATTGTGTGTGCATTGTTGCATATTTTTAATTAAAGGTGAAAAGTTGATTTTTTTATGTAAAGGTGAATATATGGATTTGTTATTTCCATAAACACAAATTTAGTGATTGAAAAAGTGTTAATTCTCATACTCTGTGAATTCATTCTTTTCAAATATAGGCACAATTCCCTTCCCTGGCCCACTCCCTCCTTTTCTTTTTAATGTTTCTTAGGGATCATCTTGGACAAATTCATTCTGATAAAGGTGTAAAGATTGAATCTTTTGGTTTGATGATTTTTCAGAGACGAGCAAATGGCCAGGCTAAACCAAATGTTACTGCAAACCATACAATGCCGACCAGACAAAGGCCAATGGGACATCGAGGCAGAGGTGGTGGTATGTCTCCTAGGAATGGACCATCTCAACCTGGTTTTAGTTCCCTTATGCCCACAATGCCACCCCCTGTTCGGCCACCATACATTCGATTTGAGATGCCTTATGCGACTGTGGTACCATCTGTAATGGATACTTCTGTTAGAGGCATGAGGCCAATGGGTGGAGTCCGAGGCTCTCAATCACATACCAGCATTGACCATTCTCTGCACAGGAATAACTCAAGGAGGGATAATTTTGGACAACGCGGCCACAGTGATGGGCCACATTATAACAATCATGGAGGCAGGCGTGATCAAGATCGTAGAGATGGTCGTCTTCCCCATCAATATATTCGTCCTCCCACAGGGTTTTTGCCACCACCAACACCCCCTGGCAATGCCACGCTCATTAGGCATCCACCCATGACCGCTTTTGCAGACTCTGTGGGTTTTGGTAAGTCCGCTGCTCAATATATCTATATGATTCAACAATTTGGCTGTGTTAACATCATTTTGTCGCCTTTCAGATATGGCACCTCAAGCAATCTACTATCCAACACTGCCTCTGGGGTCCTTTACGACTATGCCGCTTGGTCCACCTCCACCACCACCTCCACCACCTATGCCCACCACTCTGCCCACTTTGATTATTCAGCAAATAGACTACTATTTCAGGTATTTGTCATTGTAGACTATGTTCCGGCAGATGCTTTGTCCCTTTATTATTTTACTTCATTTTATGCCTTTATGAAACTTTGTTGTTGAAGTACTTGTTCATTATTGCTAGTGATGCTAATTTGGAAAGAGATTATTTTTTGAGGGGAAAAATGGACGCGGAGGGCTGGGTGTCGATTTCTTTAATAGCTACCTTCCGTCGAGTAAGTTGCAGTTGGATTTTCATTTGCATAATTTATGTTATCTAATCAATTTTATTTAGGGATCTTTTGATATGTTGATTATCTATATATTTGCTTTGTGATAATGAATAATGCATAATTCAGTCAAACCCAATTTGTATTACAAATACACATTCCATTAGATTTTATCTGAGATTTTCTTCTTCTGCTATGATGAATGTCATCATGTGAGTAATAATTAAAACCTCATAAATCTAATTTTTCTAAGCTTGTATAATTTTGTACGGCTTCAAATTCTAAGCTTGTATAATTATGTGCAACCTTTTTGAAGTCAATGATCCCTATAAGCTTGATAACACAAATTAGGTTTACCAAATACTTGGCCAATGCAAATTGGTGATAATTGTGTTTATTTGATGTCACTGAATCTTGTATCAGATTTGGCATATAAAATTGGATAAGAAATCATCATGTGTTTCCTGTTTATTTCCTTCTCTAATGATGTAGAAATATCCCTGCCTTACAACTCATTTTAGTTCTGCTCATGGGCTTCCATAAGGATATTTCAAGAAGATAACTTCTAAGTAGAGATCCACTTGTAAAGTATCTCCTAAAGAGAGAGAGAGAGAGAGCGTTTCTCATCAATTTTGAAATCCATATAAATTTTTTATTTCTATGTTATTTTATTAACGTTTGAAAGGTTTATTTATTGAAATTTGTTTGGCTCTTAGCTATATAAACTCTTGAAAACAATTGTAAGAATCAAAAGAATTTGATGGTAACATAATGAATGTCTTGGAGTATTTTGTCTTCCTTAATGATGCTGGAAAATAATGATACGTCCAAAAGCCTTCTTTTATTAAAACCCCATACCTCAGAGAGGAAGCTAAATTTTGTCCTCTCTTATTTGCATAGGAAAGCTAGTAATATCTTTAGGGTGACTTTTCTTAGATTCTCTTTTCATAGTACTATGAGTTTATTTATACTTGGTTTTTTTTACCTGTGCGAGTAAGTTCAATGCACAGATGAATGTTACTTTATGTTATGATTTTGCAGGTGCAGAAATTAACCGACAATATTCAGATAATCTTGGATTCTTTGAGAGCTTCATCAGTTGTGGAAGTTCAGGTAGCTTTTTATGAAATAGCGCAATCTGTTTTTATTGTACTCTATCCGCAACTGAACGTTCTGTTTTTAATCGGCGCTGCAATTTAGAAGAAACCTTTGATCTATATAACTAAGTCATATTAGCTTCTGTGTCCACTTTAGTTTCTGTAGAGTGTAGACTATAGTCTAGGGCCACCACATCTGGTGACACCCAAGAAACCAGCACTTGGACATAACCAAGACCCAAAACCACGAAAACCTTGAAAAAGAAAAATTAAATACAAAACTTCCAGCAGTTGGATCATCAAATAGCCACCAATGCTGCCTGCTGTTTTTAGGTAAAAAACCACAAAAAAGTTGTATATCATCTCCTCAATTCCATGGACCTTATGTTTCAAAATTATATTGTATATAATAATAGTAATTTATTTGGTTATTTCAACCTTCAGTTCGACTGCTGTCTGATCCCCAGTTGAACTGTTTCTCCCTTGCATTTTACCTTTGTCGATGGCTGGGTTATATTTAAAAAAACATTGCTTTTAATTCTTTTGGCTTATTGAAGGATCATTTGGGAAATTGAAATTAATTATGGACATCCAGTGAAGGAAATGAGATGGATAGACAGAGGGAATACTATTTTAAAAAATCTAATGTTTCTGCGACGTGGTTGAACATCCTGTGTGTTTGATTAAAAATTGCGTAATCATGAAGGATAACCGAAGTTAATTCTGCTGTATGCTATTTCCTAAATTCATCTCTTGTGCATCTCTGTTGATTATGGAAATTGAATAAAGTTATTACGGCTTGTTTTTTCATCTATTTGTTGTTGTTCTATTTATTTTCTAGGGTGACAAGATAAGGAAGCGTCATGAGTGGAAGAAATGGTTACAAACTCCTAGTCAAGTTGACACTGATTCTGGCTCAGAAGCATCAGCTGAAAAGCTCATGGCTACATCGTTGCAGAAGGTCTCATTGAATGATGCATCGACCAATGTTAATACCAGTGTTAAGGATTTGGCTGGCCAATCCATGTTGGCTGGCGGAGAGGATACAAAAGACATTAGTTCAATCAACATATGACAAATTATTCTACAAAGAAAGTTTGCGTCTTAGTTAAGGTTGTTATGTTTTTTCATAGATTTAAAGGACGATGTCTACAATGTGAGGAAAATATTCTTTTACTTGTCTGACGACCTTGTATTTTTCAAATTTACAGGGATGGCTGGAGAAGAGTACTTATCAGAAGTAGGAGAAATTCAAGAATTTCAGAGCTTACATCGACTTTTTATTACAATTTAGACGAGTGGTTTGTTTTCCAACTAATGATGGACTAGTCGATTGTGGATGCCTTTATGGAGAAAGATTTTGCGTTGACCAAGAAAAAAAATACAGCAATACCTTGCGTTTTGTGTTATACATGCCATGTGCTCTTGCTCATTTTGATAAGTTCTCCAATTTTCAGGGTTTTTTTTTAAATGACTTTGCTATATATATGGTGATAGTACATGCACATCAGAATGTCCATAATGTCGTCCACCCCTCTAGAGGAGGATCCACTTTGAATAAAATATAATTTATTCAAAGTGGATTTCCCTCAATATGAGGGGAATGGACGCAAACATTATGTACAAGTAACATATTCCATATGTATATAAGTATTTTGTATACAAGACTATTGTATTGGGTTTTGTTGCATTTTATTAAATTCTAGTCTATAGGATAGCTTTGTCTTGCAATGTGCTTGAAATTGTTCTTTCACAATTAACAATGTTTGTCCGGAAATATTGACTAGTAATGTGGCTTGGGCGAGATCGCGTTGGACAAAGTTCAGGCCTGTTTCTTTACCTTTGTTCAAAGTCGTCTTTGTTCAAACAAAAGAAAGTACTAACAATTGGTACAGAAGTTTGTTACATTTTATGAAACTACTTAAAGTTGAACGTGCATTGCATGTTATTTTAAAATACTTTATAAGTTATGTAAAAGTAATATTTGATACCAATTTGTTTGAGGATTCGATAAGTTTAAATGAATTAAAGAAAATAAAATTTAGCGTAGAAATTTAAGAGAAGAAAATTGAATTCAAATTGTACTTTCAAGCCTCAATTTCTATGATTCAAATTTTTTATAATGATGAAATACTATAAATGAACAATCTTTTTATGTTACATTTGACATATAAAAATTAATTGTTAATACATAAATTTAAACAATCATTAAAATTTTCAAATACATGAATATGAATAAATTCATCTATAATAACTTTAGATTCATGTAATTCAAGATTCATAAATGAAAATTCATTGAATCTAGATTAATGTGAATGATAATTAATTGAGAATTGATAGCACAAATTTCATAAATGACAATAATTTTGTAGTATTTATATATCAAAAAATGAAAAATAATGTATTATTGAAATAATTGAATTGCAGGAGAGTTAAAATTGTCCGAAAATTATTCTCCCTAGATCTAATATTTTAATATAATTATAGATAAAATGTCTTGCTCACATCTTTTAACTATTCCTCGTATAGTTAATAGAGGTTTTTTTTCTTTTTTTAAGCCATCCAAACAATCCAATCTACATTTTTTTTTTCTCACTATGGAATTTTCAACTTCATCCCAAACAAAATAAGTAGGTTAGGTGACAGTCTTCCATATAGTCAAACAAAACATCAAAAAATAGAATCCCAAATCCGACAAATGTTATCCAGCGGGAGTCAATGTGACATTCCTTCATTAGTAATAAATGTTGAGAATTAACAATAAAATAGTACACCTATCTTCTCTAATACTCTTTCTCTCTTTTACAAGGTTGATCTGCGTACTAACTCCTCAAATCAACAATAATTAGACTTCATAACTTAACGATCTCCTACTTGGAGACTAATCCACCATCAATTGCTCCTTTGTAGCGACAACAATTTCTCAATTCTCATAAAGAGAAGTCCTATTGAAGTTTCACACTACTTCAGTTTCTCGATCAAAATAGTCTTTGTTAACATATCAACTGAATTTTGAGACTCTTGAATCTTTTCAAGTATCATAATACCATCCTACAAAACTAATCTGATGAAGTGATAAAAAGCTTGTCTGATTCGTCATTGCATGGTAACTTTGCTAAGTAGATAACCCTTTGACTCTTACAGTGCTATAAACTCTTTGTTTTCTTTTAAGTGAACAGTTGGTTTCTGAAGAATATTACACTTCAATATAATTGGGATTACAGATTTCATGATGTGTTCTTATTTGCTCCCTTCTGTGGTGCTTAAAGGCAATTAGCAATTATCTTCTATGATAGAATTAATTTCATCTTTTACGAAAGCAACACATCAATCAATAAGAGTTTCAACAAACTCAATATAGAATTTTATAATTCGAAAAAATAGCATCAAAATTAGAGAAAGAAGTGAGGTTCAAAGCAAAAAAGTTTACAATGAAAAAATGGAGTTGATTTTTTTTGGCTCCAATGCAAGCTATTTATAAATTTATTTGTGGCTATTCAAGTACCATATAAGTCTTTTCAAAACATTGGTATCTATTTAAATTATTAATTTAAAATATATTACAAAATTCTATCACCAAAAGGTGATACTCATATCCCTAATTAAAACAATAAGCCTCTATTAATGCGAACAAAGTGTTCAGTTTTCATACAAAATATTGTATTAAAAAACCATTCACCAAATAAAAAATAAACATAATTAATTAAAAAATAGTTGAGTAAGAAACAATTATTGATTATAGGTACTATAATTGTAACTAAACCGATTATAATTTAAAATTTAAACTAAGTCGAATAAAACTAAATCAATTGGTTCTCATTTGATTTGGTTGTTTTAGGGGGAAATTGTTTCGATTCTTTTGTCAAACCCTACTAACAGGTGGTGACATGTTTAGAAATGGCTAAGTGTACTCCTTCCACAAAACACAAACCATTTTGGCCCGAGCTTTTGCTACCATGTGTCACAATTACCCCACCTATCAAGACTTGAGTTGGCCTACCATTAAGGTTGTAGATGGAACAGATATGGTCCGGATCTGTCCATGCTCAATCTCATCCGATCTGATAAGAATAGTTCATGGATATGATCCGATTTGATAATCCAGTGAATATTTAATTGTTAAATTTATATCAAATTTGTTATGTTATTGAATATCCAATCCAATAATTCAATCCAAAATTGAATAAATTAGAAAGATAAAACCAATGTTGAAATTAACTTATTATTCGGGCCCATGTTTTAAATCAATCAGGCCCAAGAATGAAAAATGCGAGGATTGGCCTATCCCCTATTTATAACTTATTAAGTTCTTTTATGAAAATCGATGTGGGATGGCTTATGACTTTTTGACAAACAATTTATGGCCTGTACACGTGGATAGACATTTTTTACGTTTTGAATTTAATGACTTTTTATTCTAAATTTCTTTATCTTCTCATTTATTTATTTTATTGACAAATAACATGCCATAAAAATATTCAACCGACTCAACTATTTATAACAAATTGGATTGGTTTATTATCGGATTAACCTATATCCAAATTTCTTCATTTAGTTAACGAATTATCAAGTTCAAATTTCGATCGTGTTATTGGATTGAGACCCAAAATCGGTCTCCAATTAATTTCATCGTATTTGGATTGGATTCAGATCAAAACCCAATCCAAATAGTTGTTCCAGTGGGCCTATTAGAAAAATATTTCAATCCAAGCCTAGCAGTGACCCATTGTAGCCCACACTATTTCAACGTCTTTTTTTTTTTTTTTTTTTGATATCCAGGTATCCACCTTACAGTGACTAAAT